AATGAACAAATCTGAAAGAGGTCCACATGTAGTACCTATATATGTAATATCAAAGCAATCAGACTTGCAGTTTTTAACAAGAAGTCAAAAATATCACAAATATTCACCAAAATTAGAGAATTGAGGATATCATCACGAAATGAACAAATCTCAGAAAGGTCCACATGTAGCATCTATATATGTAATATCAAAGCAATTGGACTTTTGGTTTTTAACAAGAAGTCGAAAATATCACTTTTTATCAAAAATGACAAAAATATTCACCAAAATTAGAGAATTTAAGATATCATCACGAAATGAACAAATCTGAGAAAGGTCCACATATAGTATCTTTATATGTAATATCAAAGCAATTGGACTTGTGGTTTTTAACAAGAAGTCGAAAATATCACTTTTCACCAAAATTACAAAAATATTCACCAAAATTAGAGAATTGAAGATATCACGAAATGAACAAATCTAAGAGAGGTCTACCCCAGGTACATACACACCAAGTATCAAAGCATTCAGGCTTGTAGTTTTCAAGAAGAAGACGAAAAAGTAAAACATTGACACGGACGACGGACAATCACTCATATGATAAGCTCCGCTCGACAAAGTCGACAGCGGAGCTAAAAAAAGATGAAACCTCAATATAACATTTGCATATCCCTATCATATACACCAAAGGTATCAATGCCAGCACCTACCTGATTTTTAACCATGTCAACATTTGAGTTGTACCACCACCGCACACAACTATTGTAACTATTACTATCATTAATGTAGTAGTCAACATTGTCTGCCTGCCCGCTGTCTCAGTGTTACGAATGGCCAACGCAAATGCTATAGCTCCTCGTAGGCCTGTGAAAGCAATAATAGACAATTTAACTCTCATAGTACAGTTATCAGTAAAATGTGCATATTCGCATTTATCAAGCAAACCGTATTTTAATTTTAGTATGTTGTTTTTTGATAGGACAGCCTTATTAACCTTCTGACTACCATCATTTTCCCCCCAGAAATGATGGTACAACATTTACCGTATTTTTTCACAATTTTTTTGATAATTTAGCAAAATGGACATAAATTCTTATTGGCTACTAGTTTTGATGACAATTTTGGGAAAAAATATAATTATGTGGATTTTAATTTGCGATTTATTTTGTGAAAGGTGACAAATATTCACTTTGTGAATGACGGTAGATTTCATACGATAAAACATTCAACAATTTACAGCTATCGATTATTCTAAAGTTGAAATCAAAAAGTAGAAATAACTTTGAAAAGAATATAAATATTGATGGATAGAATAACAGTCATAACATTCAGGGGCTTCACAAATGCACTCAATAGCAGGCCATCATTCTGTAACAGGCCAAAAATAAATAAAAAGTCTCTCAGCAGTGCGAAGCGCTGCAGCGATACCGGCGTAGGCAGTCAAGATGGCAGCGAGTACAGTAGACGACCAATTTGGGCTTAACGAAACCCATGATATTACTGGTGAAAAAATCTTAATTGGGCAGAATTTGTAAGAAAAGTATTCAAGAAATTTGCTGATGAACTAAGATGATACAAGATACTTAGATAAAATATAACTAGGTATTTACCTGCAAAAACTAGCATATGCTGAAAATTAAATGATATTTTGTTTTTTCTACCTAAATTGAGTAGAAATGATAATGGATAAATGTTACAAACACGAGCAACACCAACCGCCAACTAATATGAGAAATACTATCAAGGAGAATAACAATTAAGTTTGATATGTAGTAAAATTATTGTAATTTTTCTATTACAAATGCACTTTAATACGCTCAAAATAGGTTGAATTTTATTGATCCAGCGAGAGGTAAATGCAATTTTGGGTCTTTGTATGCTTCTATTGGAAATGAGATGACCTATAATGATGATGGGAAATTAAATTATCTAAAGTTTTTTTGGTAAATAATAAAATACGTAATTATTTGACAATATGTATGAATAGAATAGTAAAGGGAAACTTGATTGGCTGCATAGCATTATAACTCACAGGAAACGTAACGCTATTTATATGAGAAAGTATCTAAAGAAAGTAATCAAACTGGTGATCACAGCACCAAATTGCCTAGCTACATGCACCAGCGTGGTTTCACTTGGGCACTGAGTAGGATGCTCTAAAAGAGGATGCTTAATAACCAAGCTTATTCCACACTGAGAGCGTGCAACCTTACAAGGCCAATTGAATGCACAAAGCAGTAGTAGTACTAATGTGAAATAAGCTTGGTTATTAGGCATCCTTTTTAAAGGATGCCCTATGGCCAAATGGAAGCCATGCTGGGATTCGGTGCCATAGTTTTAATAACACATGTGGTACTTTCTCATATGCAGCATTACATTTACAGGAGGTTATTGCTCTATGTATTATTTTGCTGTTCAATATAGTAATTTTTTTGACACTTGACATTTTTTTTTAAGTTCAGCAGTTAGTACCTAATTCAGATATTCATTTACAGTTGACTCTTCATTTTAAGCTCAAGGAAGGACTAATAAATTTCCTGAATTTCCTATTTACTGGCTATTTGATAGTTCAGAGAAAACACTTTCAAGATTTTTTATTATAAACATCCGTTGTAATCATGCCCAATATTCAATTCAAAAATGGCCACTGAAAGAGAGTTTAATACCATGGAGAAACCACCATTGTTTCCATGGAAACATGTTAGAGTGCCTCCACCTTTTACTTCCTGATATCAATCTGTGCCAAATTTTTCTCTGCAAATTTAAAAGAATTCGTAGTGCTATTGAATATGTGTTGTGATCCCAAAGAATCTTTATTAATTTTGCTTCCCTGAAGAAAGGTCAAAGGTCAATGACCTATAAAGGATACAAATGCAGCTGCGATGAAATCTATGTGCCACTGATGACTTTGAAATGTAAACATTGCTACTCCCATGTATGAGAATATAAAGTTCTCAGATAGAAAATTCAGTAATTCAAATAACTGTAAAAAAAAAATAGAAAAGTTTAAGTTGTTATAAAAGCCATTCTCAATTTTTATTTTATATTCACAATGTATGGCTTTTGCTACCAAAACAGCAAATTTGGAGGAATGGTTACAGATATAAGGAAAGTGGGCAGTGTGATTAAATTTATCTTTTTTTCACCAACAGTTCCCTGTTTTCATCACAAATTGATAAAATAGTCCCCTTTATAGTCTGCACTTTCCTTAGAAGATTAGTTGTGTAAAAACTGAAAATTGACTCAAATTTTGTCTGTTAACTCCAAAATTAGGGTTAATTTTTAGAAATATTGACGAATATAAGCAAAAAGTGCAAAATTTGGGCGAGAAAGTCTGGTGGTGAAAAGGTACGTTATAATCTCACCTCTTTGGTTCTCTTCTTGGATTCATCAGATAGATTATTGTACGTGTAATGAGCCTGTGTCATACCACAAAACAACATTGCAACGATACCTAATATAATAAGAATAGTACAGGAATTAGAATTCGGTTTCCTGTCAATACTTTGGATGCAAAATTTTGTCTATTTTTTATTTCTGTATATTATATTGAAATCAAATTCAATTTATACCCCAGTGCAGAAACATTGTTTCACAAATACTGGATATTTGGAAGATAAATTTGAAAATAGAACAGCAGAGAAACCTTCAAATAGTCATCACATCACAGTGGATTCTAAATAAAATACTAATTTACATATTCTTACCCGTCAGTCCAAATGACTCAGCTATCAGAAACGTGGAATATGACAACAAACAAAACAACACTGTCTCCAGTATTGGGAAATCACGAATTTTAGTGAATTTTGTCAAGTGCAAGAAAGACTGTTAAGAAAAATACTAAATTAAGTTACGATACTTGGTACATTATCATTAAAACCAAGCTCACTTCTTAGATTTTCATAAACTTGCATCGATACTGAAAAACAAAGTTACTGTATTTGCTATATACATGTATATGTGTAAAGTACATATTTCTATATGTATCAAAGTTGTATTGTCGACAAACCTTAGTTGAAAATCCTTTTAATTTTAAGTATCTTGGCCAAAAATCAAAACACAAAGTTATAGCATTCGTAAGTTATGCTTATACTGATCCAAGTTGGCGTTATTACCGGTACTATAGTCTTCACTACAATTAATCCTATCATGTATTGTTTGAAATTATGCTTTGAGAGGACGCTGAACGAAAACCAACCTGGAAAGTTAGCAAAGCTTGTACACAGTGGTAACACAAGTATAAAGTAGATTTCCTATAAATTAAAAATTTACAGTATACAGTACCCGAGTGATTTTAATTTCACTTGGAATTTACTTAATATGCTATTTTCACTGAAAGGTTGAATCAGTGGAAATAAAATCCAGTGAAAATATCTTTTTTCTCATATTTTACGGTTCTGTGCTCTCGCTGTCGCTCGCAAATGTCGTAAATTACGAAATTTTGACAAAATTTACGAACAAAATAAATATCTATTAGTAGGATTTACGAACACATTTTGTACAAAATACCCTCGCAAATCGCGCTCATTTAATTGTCAAGACTCGACTGTGATCATCACGCGTGTTACGGTTTGAGTGATTGCCATTTTAAAGTTAAACAACGTCCCGTTACTTCTAAGATTGCAACAATTGTTACATGGTGATCGCGAGCAACACGGAACTGCCACTGAATGTATTTTTCCACTCTAAAGTTATTTTGGTGTCATCGCACATGCAT